CACTGGGCTCAAACACCGCCCTAAGAGCCAAAGCGCGGCAGTGATAAAAATGCCAGCAGCGGCAGCAAGTTCCCCGAGCGGGAGAAAAACCTGAAAGACGCCCGGGAAAGAAAAGGCAGGAGAGTCGGACCGATTAATATAAGACGCAAAAAAAAAACATGACAATAGGCGGGTTTTAGGGCCGGGACTAGGGCAGTTATGAACAACCGGCCATTTTTTTTCGCAAAAAAAAATTCCATGTGCAGGTTAGGTAAAGAAATGGCGAATGAGGAAGGAATCAATGACCAGCAGAGCGGAGGGAATCAGGGCACGAATGGGGATGGGGAACGAAACGAGGGATCAGCCAGGGATCGAGAGTCAGCCAAACTGGAAGGAACCCGAGAAGATAGAAAGGACGCCTCAATTGGAGAAAGCTCGGGGAAAGCTGGGGTAGCAAAAGAGGACCTCAGGAAGACAGGGAAGGGAGAAATGATATAAGAACAAGCCCTCGGAACTCAGCAGGAGCCACCCCTAAAAAGACAAAAGTCTCGGATGCCAGTCGTAAATTGGCAGAGATAGAAAAGCAGAGTGCGGAATTTAAGGCAAGGCTTAACGAGCAGATGATGGTCGAGGATGAAGAGGACCCCCAGGGCGCAGGGTCACGTGAGGGACGCAGGACCGGTCAAGACGAGGCTAGGTATGAGGGGAAGGATAATATCCACAGAGGAACGCCTAGTAAGAAGGAGAAGGACAAGAACGACCTCCCGACGGAGGAGACGGAAAACGCTATGACCCCACCCGCCATCGACAGCGGCATTAGCAGATTGCCCGCCACGCCGAAAGTAACAGGGGCATGTGACAGACTCTGGAACCTTAGGGAAAGAGTGCTAGGATGGTTCAACCCAGAAGGAACGCCGAAAACCAGGGAGAAGCAGAGGGAAAGCAAGGTAGGGGAAGGGACCAGTGCGGCCGGGGAAGCAGGTGGCTCCGAAGATGGTCTCAAGAGGGTAGTCGCCACCCTCACCAGGACACTAAACAAGAACCAGGGGTATCTCGCAGATGCAAAGAAGAAACTCACGTTCGATGGGGCCAACATTACGGAGTTTCTAATAGACTATGAGAACCTAGCAGCCTTACTGAAATGGACGGAAGAGGAAAGGATGGAGCACCTGGGGCAGCACGTGTCGCTAAGCTTGGGAAGGGACATTATGGCCATCGTCGCCTCCAGTGGATCCTGGAAAGAAACCAGGAATGAGATAATGAGGAAATACCTGAAGGCATAAAAAATGGCAACAGAGGTCGAATTAGTCGCGGTCCAGAGGAAAAACTATGCGACTTACAACGATTTCCTAAAGGCGTTCACGTTAGTGGCTCTGCGAATTCCCGGGGTAACGGACCGCATAATGAGTAAATACTTCCTCAGGCAGTTTTCCGAGTTTGATAAAGATAAGACTTTGTCAGCATACCAGTAGACCAATAAGTTCGAATACACGACAGATGTGGACTTCAGCACCGTAACAGACCTTGCGGAAAAGACAGTGGTCACCGAGACGCCAGTCCTGCTTAAGGAAGGGGAGGTCATAGATCTGATCAGGAAGACGGGGGATAAAGTCAAGAAGGGGATAGAGAGTCTGCACGAACGGGTGCACGGGGTTGACAGCAAGATGGATAGAATGGAAAATGCGTTGTTAGTAATGTAGGTGCAAGTGTCCAGACCCGCACTCCCGCCCCAAGAGGCCGTGGTTCCGGCAGCTGTAGCAAACCGGGGGTTTGGCAGGAGGGACCCGGCCAACGAACAATGCAAGTATTGCACCATGATCGGGCATTTCATACGGGCCTGTCCGAGGCTCAATCACGATATCGAGCGGCAGAGGTGCAGTAGGTCCCTCAAAGGCGAGATCCTCGGACCCAGGGGGGAGCGTGTCAATTGGAACTCGTCAGGAGGGATGCGGTGAGCCGTCATCCTCCTGAATAACTTAGAGATAGCTATCGTAGAAGCAGAGCCGATAGCCGACATTGTCTGGGACCAGCCGAGGGGACGGGGACCACAGGCCAATTTTATCCTAGAAGGCAATGGCCAGGATAGGGTAAATATTACGACTCGTCGGGCCGGGGCAGAAAAGAAGCTTATTCAAGATACAGTAATGGAGGAACTCGCAGGGACTAGCACGGGCCAGCAAGAGACCGAAGTCGAGGAACAAGAGAAGGTCTATGGGAAGCCAAGGGAGGATGAACCGGTACACAAAGCTACGGCCGCAAAAGAGAAGTTCAGGTATCAAATTCCGATCCTAACTTCGCCAGAAATCGATGGCACCTTGAGTAAGTTACTGGGTACCATGGTATCAGTGTCTTTTCATACCATGCTGCAAGCCAGCCCAAGGTTGCTTAAAGGACTCAGGCAGTTGCTAACGCGTATAGCGCGTAGAGGTAGAGGAGGCCCCGGAACTGCAAGAGCAGGACACGGAGGAGGCCGAGGCGCCGCAAGGAGTCTCCAACCTCCAAAGCATTCCAGGGGGGCTGGGAGAGTTGGAGAAAGCCTTTGCGGACATCCGCCTAAGCCTACCGGATCGTGAAGGTGGCGAAGTCATGAGGGCGCCACCCGGGACAAAGCTTAGCTTTCATGCATTACCAGTTCGGAAACTTAAAGTTCAAATCGGAACTCACCACACTGACGCGTTAGTGGACGGCGGAGCAGAAATCACCCTCATACGACGGGATTTTGCAACGGTCACGGGGTGCACGGTAAACAAGGAAGTAGCAGGGAGTATCCGGGGAGCGTGTGGCGAAATTTCTTTCTTAGGGTATGTCACCAAATGTGCAGTCAGGGCGGGAATCCGGGAATCCATCTGGTCCTTTCAGCGGATGACCGTGATGGAAGAAATGGATCACGACGTAATCCTCGGGAGACCGTGGTGAGCCAATGTGGAAATGATAGGAATGCATCTGCACGACGGCACATACATGGTAGACATAGAGGACCCGGTGACCGGCCGCGGGGAACTCCTCCGACTTCTTGGGACCGGAGGAGACCCTCCGAAGGGCAAATTGGCAACCTGGTCTCCAACATTCGAAGAAAGTGCGCGGAAGGGGGCATTCGCACGAATGGAAGGCATGAGGGAAAGGGTAGAAATTATGATCGAGGAGGCTTTTAGTAAAAAGGAATGGATCAAGATGGGTCTGTCCGTAAATAAGAGAAGGCCTGAGGACGAGTCCCTAGGGGTTATGGTGGCGGAAAAGGAGCAGGAAGTTGAACTTGGAGCCAGCCTGCCCAAGCCAAAGGAAGGCCGTAACGAGACCCCTGAGCTAGCGCTCGAAATCCCAGACCTGCTGCAACTTGTTAAGGCAATCAGGTACCACAAAGTGAGAGTGGACCAGGCAGCGCTTGCCAAGTTTGAGGATGAGGTTCGAAAAGGCTACTGCCTGAATGGGAAGACAGTTAGCACCGTATCATGGAAATAGCAAGGCCAATCCCGACCGTTCATTTTTTAGGAGAACGATCCCAGAAGGCAGTGTGCGAAAATATAAACCCGTAGGAAAGAAGGTCAAGCCGGTCTCGATCCTAGTAGAAACATCAAAGGAAGAGGCCATGGAAAAAGAGGAGGAGATCCTACGGGTTATAAGGGAGAGACGCGCAACGGAAGGGCACCGCATACGAGACGAGGTAGCAAATACCATGAAAATAGGAGTGGAAGGGTTTCTAACAGCAGAAGAAACTCAGTCGATAAGAAAGGCTTGCCAGAATTTTCATTTAGCCTTCGCTTTCAACGATCATCAGAAAGGGCGATTGGACGCAAAGCTAGTTCCCCCTGTCAGGATCCACACCGTACGGCACGAGTGTTGGAATGATGAAGGGCCCGCCTATGAGTTTGGGATAGCAGCGGAGGTCACCGACCTGCTTAGAGCTAAGATAGATTCTTTCGTGGATGAACCCACCGCATCCACCTACGCGAACAAGTGGTTCGTATTCAGGAAGCCCAATAAGACGCTCAGGTGGATCCAGGACCTGCAGAAGCTCAATGCGGTAACAATTAGGGACGCAGGCTCGCTTCCACAGGCCGACTTGTTGTCATAATCTCATGCGGGGCGGAGTATTTACTCCTTGGTAGACTTGTACTCAGGATATGATCAGTTGTCGCTCGATGCGAGGGATAGAGCGTACACCGCAATGCACACCCCTGTAGGGCAGCTGCAGATGCAAGTGACCCCTATGGGTTTTACAAATGTGGTAGCAGAGGCGCAGAGAAGGATGCTCGCCGTCGCAGGGGATATGTTTCCGGAAAAGTGTGAACCGTATATAGATGATAATCCCGTAAAAGGCGCAAGGTACAAGGACGAGACGGAGGTCGAGCCGGGCGTACGAAAGTTTATCTGGGACCACCTGCAGGATATTAAGGACCTACTCCAGCGATTCCTTGTTTACAATATTACTGCAAGCGGACCCAAGAGCATCCTGGCCGTCCCGGAGGTAACCATACTGGGATTTTGTTGCGGAGCTTATGGGAGGAGACCCGACCCAGCAAAGACGTATAAGATCTCCCAGTGGCCGACACCCCTGCGTACCACGACGGAAGTACGAGCCTTCCTAGGGGTGGTTGGGTTGTGGAGGATCTTCATCAAAGGATTCGCAAAGATAGCAGAACCTATCCGCGCGATGATTAGGGAAGGTGGCACTATGGATTGGACCGAGGATAGGGAAGAGGCAGCCCAGACCCTGAAAGACATCTTGTCATCCGATCAGGTCACACTAGCAGCATCCTATTTCAATGACGAGGTAGGACGGCCCTTCATCTTAGAAACAGATGGGGGACCGCTGGCAGTTGGAGGAGTATCGATACAGAGAAGCGAGGAGGGCAAGGAAAGGCCAATCAGATTTAAAAGTAGGACCCTGAATTCGGCAGAACGACGGTACTCACAGTTCAAGAAGGAGGTCTTAGCGATTCTGCATTGTCTTAAGACCTTTTAGGCATACCTGTTCGGAAGGCGATTTATCCTAAGGATCGATCCCACCAACGTTGTCGGGGCCCTAAAGAACTACAAGCCTATAGATCCGACCGTTGGCGGATGGATAGGCTTCATATGGCAATTCGACTATAAGGTCGAGCGAATTGCAGGCCTTCGAAATAGGGCAGATGGGTTGAGCAGGGTATGTATCACGCCAGAAGGGGTAGAGGACGAGGACCCAATTCACGCCTTCCTGGAGTACGAAGGAGGGACCCTTGTTGTGGATAATGAGATGGTAGATCCAGCAATTACAACAGGTCAGTTGTTGATTCAGACCTTGGAAAAGGGCGCACCTGCAGTGGTTGCGGAACTCAGGGAAGGACCAGTCACCACGGTCAGGCGTAAAGAGGAGAAGGACTCGTCGGGAGCAGAAGTAGGGGCCAGGGAAGAATTGATGGCGATGACCGTGGAAGGGGGACGGGACGCCGTAATGATGTTGGCCGAAACCTGGGCGCAGAAGGAGTGTCAGTACCTAGTCAACCTCACTCGGGAGGAGCAGGGTACGGATCAGAAGGAACAGGAGTTCTTCCTCATACAGATGTACGAGGGCGTCTTCAAAGAAATCGGTCTGCTACTTGTAGGGAACAAACAACCCACGGAAGTCAGTCCCAAGGCAAGGAAGAAAGTCAAAAAGTATGTCCTAAGAAATGRCCACMTGTTCAAGAAAGAGGWAGGGATGATACCTAGGCGTSTCGTTTGTGGGAGGTCTAGGAAGCTGGACGTAATCCAGGCAATGCATGACGGGCTAGCTGGAGGTCACCGGTCGTCCAAGGGGACACTTGCAAAGATCGTGCCCCTGTACTTTTGGCCAGGGATGGCAGGCATGGTCGCAACGTATTGTCAAATGTGTCTGATATGTCAAGAAAGGAGCGTCGTACGAGTTTACGATCCCCTTAGACCCACCCGGGCACTGGGACCCGGACACCTTGTTCACCTCGACCTTGCCGTTATGCCCGTATCAACGGATGGGTTTAGATACATCTTGGATGCAAGGGATAATCTCAGTGGCTATATAGAAGCCATAGCCCTCAAGAAGAAGACGGGGAAAGCGGTGGCCGACTGGGTGGAAGATTTCTACCTAAGGCACCCCTTCGTGTGCAGGTTTATAGCAGACAATGGGACAGAATTCGTTAACCAGGAAGTGTTGAACAGGCTTAAGACACTATGTGTACCGATCAAGATAACCGAGCCCTACCATCCTGAGGCAAATGCACCAGTAGAAAGGGGTCACCGGACTTTGAAGAACACAATCGCAAAGTTGGCAGCAGATAATTTGGGAAGTTGGTCATGGTTTCTCAAGCAGGCAATCTTCGCCGAGAACATGACTCCAAAAAGAACAACGAGATGTATTCCAGCAGAACTCTGGTATGGAAGGGAGATCGATTTTCCGATAGAAGCTTTGGTCCATACCTGGAACAGGCTAGATGACGATCCACACTTGAGCATGGAAGAGTTAATCACCGCACGTTGTCAGCATGTCGCCAGGAATGAGGAGGCACTCGAGGAAGTAGTCAATCGTGTGACGGACAGCCGAATGAGGGATAAAGCAAGATAGGACCAGGTTAAGAACATTCGGAAGGAGCCACTCCAGGTGAGGGAAAAGGTGCTAGTTAGGAACTCGGCTCTTGAAAGCACATGGTCCGGGCAGCTGGGAAAAAGATTCAAAGGGCCTTACAGGATCGCTAAGCGGGTGGGACTGAACACATTTGAACTTGAGGATCTCGAAGGTAATAGCATAAGAGGGTCATTTTCGAGACAGAGATTGGTCAGATTTTTTAGCAGGGATCCGGTGGAACAGTGGCTACAAGAGGCCCAAGACAGGGAAACTGGGGAACTGACAGCCTGAAAGGCAGGCAACTGGCTATAAGCTCTGGACCGCCTCCCTGTGGAAGTGATCATGACCACAGGGATTGTTCGTTTGTGCGTCTTGACTTTTCTGGAACGTGGGGAGACTGCCTGGGCTGACTTTGACTGGGTCTAGGAGCACGGGACAGTGTATTATAGTTTTTTGTGGGGTAACGCTGGGGACTGTCTACGTGAGGTACTGATGGGTTGGGACAATGTACCATAGTTTTTTGGGGGGGGGTAATGCTGTGGACTGCCTACATGGCGCACCTATGTGTTGGGACAATGTGTCGAGGGTTCTAAGGGATAATGGGGCTACCAACTATATGGGGGCAAGCAAGAGTTCTAGGGAAGCCTCCAGAGCCACAAACGGGAGTGGAAGGGAATGCGTGTGTATGAGGGGTATCGTGACTGTTATGTATGAACAGGGCCAGGCAAGAAGAAGGAAGACAACAAAAATAAAATGGAGTTTGGGAATGAAAATGACGGCAATGCAATTAACAGGCCGGAAGAGGGACAGTCGTCAAGGCAAGCTGGAGAGTCAAGCTCCAGGAAAAGGAAGTTGTATGTGGGGTTCGATCACAACCTAGTTGTGAACAGGGGGGGCAGAAAGCAAGGAACCAGAGGACCGTCACCACTAAAGGAAGGGGAGCCAATAGAGCTGTCTTCAGACAGTGATCCTAGTAGTAAGGAAGAGGAGAACCCAGAGGAAGGACAACGGCCGGGAGAGAATGAGCCCGTTGAGTTCATTGACCTCACCAGCGACGAGGAGGAAGATGAGG